ACGACCCTTTGGTGAGCCTGTTCGAGGGGAGGCATTTACCAAAAAGGACATGGAGGTTGTGCATTGGTTCATAGTAAACAATTGTGACCAGACAATGATTTACGTGGATGAGCATGAACAAATGATGAAGCGAGATTATCCTTCACATATATGTGCGAAGAAGCACCGTGAATTGTTTCCTCGGTGGTTTCTTGAATATGTAAGTTTTTTGTGTTTGTATTGAACATGTTGTAGTAATTTCATCAATATATTCGAAGTGGCTAAAACAAGAAGTTATTTTTTTCTATCATGTCAGGTAAATTAGTTAAAAGCATCCAATTCACCCGCTTACATTGAAGAGTTATATAACTTGGCATTCGATCATATTCGGGCAGAATTGTACTCCGGTTGCCATATTAACGGCGTCAAGTTTTTGCGGGCTGAGCGTGATGATAAGTTATGCACGCAAAACTGCGATGTCCATGTCCTGGGTGGTGGCGGAAGTACAGACATTGAGTTTTATGGCAAACTATCCAGTGGCATACAAGCGATGTACAAAGACTGTTACCAAGTTATCTTCTTTAAATGCTGATGGTTTGATACAAACCCACATGGGCACGGAACTCTTAAGAGGGACCTTGGCTTACTCTTAGTCAACACTTCCAAAACTTGGTACAATGATGACCCTTACATTTTGGCACGTATGGCAAAACAATTTTTTTTATATCGATGACCCTAAGGCCGGAAAGGGTTAGAAAGTTGTTCAAAGGATTGAGCATAGGAACATATATGCTGTACCAAACCAAGATTCTAGTTCCGATGGGGACGACATCAATGTCGCGGACCCACATCTTGAGTCTTCGATATAAATTGGCAGGGAAACAGTACGTGATAATAATCTTGTCCAAGAACCATTTCAAATACCAAATACCGATTGATTCAATTTCAATTGACCTCGGTGATCTTTCCCGATACGATCCACCAAAGGTTGTGAACGACGACAGTGATGTACCTATCGATGAGGAGGAATGGGACACTGAAGATGATGATACCGACGATAGTGAAAGTTATTATAGTTCTGACGAGGATTAATTAATATAATTTGGAATTTTTTTGTAAATTAATTGCAACTGTATCTATCATAAAATAATTTTGGGGAAATATATGTAAATTTATGTATTTAGTTAAATGTTCGGTTTACCAAAAGATTCTTTTTTTTTTTTTTTTAAATTCACACTTGTGCAACGAAATATATAAATTCATTGCACAAGGTTTTTAATTTTATGCGGGGACACCATGTTGGGTCCTATAAATTCAAGTGTTTCTGAAATAATTTGATTTTTTTTAAATTATTACACATTCTTGTGCGAAGAATACCAAAAAATTGTCGCTCGAAGCCTATTTGCGCAACGAACTTTCATTTTCAGTCGCGCAATTTCAAATATTTGGCATGCCATTAAATTTTATCTTGAAAATTTTAAATTTCCACGAAAATTCAAAAAAATGTGCAACGACTTTAGGGTTTTGCGATGGATGCCTTTGTCGCGTGAAAAACTAAACGACATCTACGCGACAAACCATGCACCGCGCAAAGGTGTACGTTTTAATTATTTCAGACAACCCTCCTCCTCTCCTTCACTTTTTTCTTTCTTTTGCCTGTGCACTCCCTTTCTCCGCCGCTCTTTCCTTCTCTCATACGCACTCTCCTTCCCTCCCAGCCACCGTCCTCGTCTCTCCCAGCCACCCTCCCCCTCTCTCACCTACTATCTCCGTCACTCAGGCACAATATGCCTATACCTTTCCCGCGCAACCTACGCCGTGCGTCCCTCCCTCTTTCACCATCCGTCAATCCAGTCGCCGTCCTCCATTCTCAGGTATCTTGCTTTTCTTTTCTTTTATTTTTAATTTCATTTTAATTAACCAGTTAGACTTATTAGATTAGGGGATTAGGGTTTGCCAATTAGGATTTCAATTTGGGGATTAGGTTTTGCCGATTAGGATTTCGATTTGGGGATTAGGGTTTAGATTTAGGGATCAGGGTTCAACATTAGGGTTTCTAGATTTGGGGAATTTTATCCTTAATTTGTAGTTAGGGGTAGTTTTTTATTAGGGGCAATTTAATTAGAGAATGTTATTGAGGGGGCTTGGGGTAGGCACAGATTAGATTACGGATATGGAAATCTTCTAATTTAAGGGAATGGTATATAATTAGGGTTAATTTTATAATTAGGGCTTAATTGAAATTAGAGCTAATTTTTAATTAGGGTTAGTTTTTAAATAGGGGGAATTTAATTAGAGAATGTAATTTGGGGGATTAGGGTTAGGGTAGGCATGAATTAGATTAGGGATAGGGGATTTTTCTAATTTAGGGGAATGATATATAATTAGGGTTAATTTTATTATTAGAGCTCAATTGAAATTAGGGTTCATTTGTGATTAGGGGGAATTTAATTAGAGAATGTAATTTGGGGGATTAGGGTTAGGGTTAGGCATAGATTAGATTAGGGATAGGGGAATTTTCTAATTTAGGGGAATGATATATAATTAGGGTTAATTTTATAATTAGGGCTCAATTGAAATTAGGGCTAATTTGTAATTAGGGGTAGTTTTTAAAGGGGAATTTAATTAGAAAATGTAATTTGGGGGATTAGGGTTAGGGGTAGACACATATTAGATTAGGTATAAGGGAATTTTCTAATTTAGGGGAATGACATATAATTAGGGTTAATTTCATAATTGGGGCTCAATTTAAATTAGGACTAATTTGAAATTAGGGGTAGTTTTTAATTAGGAGGAATTTAATTAGGGAATGTAATTTGGGGGATTAGGGTTAGGTGTAGTCACGGAGTAGATTAGGGATAGGGGAATTTTCTAATTTCGGGAATTTGGATAATTAAATTATAGTTATATAATCAAAATTACATTTAGTTTAATTTTCTAAATTATAGTTATATAATCAAATTAAGGTTAGGGATAGTTTTTAGTGGCCGGATTAGGTTAGGGTTCTAGGAGAATAGGTTACGGTTGTAGTGGATTAATTTAAATTTGTGCATTCATGTTATATAATGTTATTTTGTAATTACACATTTTGTTTTAAATTTATTTACCTATAATAGTTATATTCTAAGATTTCATTTTATTTCTCTTATATTTTTGTAGATGTCTCGCCTTATATCTACCCGAAGGGCTGCGAGTAGTGGACCCCCCCCCCCCCCCCCGAGCACCTCCTCCACCATCTCGTACTGCGAGGAGCGCTCTAACAATAGTGGACCCTCCTATGGCTGCGTCAGGAAGACTTGACGTGGCACAGGCACCGGCATCATCAACGTCTTTGGTGGCGCTTCCGTCTAGTGCACGTCGTACTCACAGGCGTGCTCGGACTCCCAACACGACATCCGCATCCAACGCCCCTACTCAAGTAAAATAACAAAATCCATTTAATTTAGCTAATTCAAATGCAGTTATTTGCTACTTTAACAAAAGAAATGGAGAAGAAAAATATAAAACTAGCTAAATGACTAGTTAAGTATATTTACAAAAATTGATTTTTATCTTAAAAAATATGTGTTTTAAATTTTTCGTCCCTTAAAATTTGTTCACAATGTTGCTTTTTAGATTTAACTTAAATGTTTGACATTTGTTTTGTTGTTTTGCAGCTAAGAAAAACACCTAGGGACCTTGCCAACAACTGAACACGTGGCAGGTCACCCAAGTGACGACAGGATATGAAGAGAGGCATTGAGCTGCACCTACAGCAGAGCAGCATAGTGCATTGGCCCATGACGTGGGACATGTCGTTAGGACCAAGTGCCCTATGTTGTGAAAATTGTGGTGCGAGATCCTGACGAAGATGAAGAACCTAGTCTGCAACTATTTATCGGTAAGTTCCTAACATTGTTTTATTCAATTATATATCAAGTTCATATTTTTGTATTAATTTTTTTTTTTTTCCTTTTTCAACTTTGACTTCAATTTTAATTTTAATTTTTTTTATTTTAATTTAATACTTGGTAAATTATAGACAAACTACAATTTTGACGACGTAAATGAGTCGATGGACAGCTACCTAGAAAGGTTGTTTTACGAGTAGTACAAGCAGTGGAAGAGCAACCTCTACAAACATTATGAGTTGTTTGATGATCCTGAGGTCGCTCTAGAGGAGGGTTGCCCGCTGGAGTTGGAGGATCGGGCGAACGAGTGGGCATGGCTTTGTGGCTATTTTCAAGAGCCCACCCATGTGGTATGTTTTTATATGTAGTACTTATTTAATTTTAACTGCTTTAAAAATTATTCCTACTTTGGGTTATGCGTTTGTTTCATTGTCTTTAAATATTACACTAATACGTTTATTTTATGTTAACAGAAGAAGGCGAAGGCAAACAAGATCAACCGGGAGAAGAAAATTTTTCTCCACCATTCTGGTTCAAGACCCATCTCCTATAGGATGGAGGTGCGGCGACTTGTAATGAGAGTTTAATATTCACACTTCCAATTTCTTACAAATATTGAATTTATTTTCCACTATCTTTATGTTTTTTTGTTGCTTTTATTACATGAGGGGTTCTAAATTCCCCGAGATAGACATCTTTAAGGACATTTATGTTCAACCCGGGGATGAGCTTGCCGAGCAGCTGCACATAAGTACTTCTTTTCAATTTCCTATTTTACCTTTCCAAAAATTGCAAAATTTAATTTAATATTAATTCTTACCTCATTGTCATAGTCAATGATGGTGGAGATGAGCCAAACCGTCCTTCAAGAGTTTGCCTCCCAGCTTCCCTCGGACACTCCTATCGAGTCCGTGGCTCAACCTGAGGATACGGGGTTTCAGATCTTGACTGAGACCTTGGATGCAACCCTCATGCAAAGGCTGGGGAAGTATTGTCGGGGGATGGGGCAGGCTCGTCAGCACACTACTGGGGCTTTGTCATCATGGCAACCACAGGGCCCGATGTCATTGAATTGTGTATATATATATATTCTAGATATTTTTCTTGAATGCATTGAAACAAAAACTCTAGTACCAGTTAAGGAAATAAATTTCTTTACTAATGTTAAATCTTTGATTTACAATGTTTATAGGGAATACATGAAAGAGGAAGAAGTACAAATCTAGCCCAAAATGTAGTACATATAAAATTATAACAAAATTATATATAATCAGACTCAATCTTCAGCCTCCGAAAGCCCAAATGCATACATCTTTTATCGTTCTTCATCCCTGCAGATACAGTAGAGAGAGATGAAAGAAAAGTAAATAGATTTCCACAATAAAACTTCAATTGAAAATCCCAGATAAAAGTGCAATATAAGATAAAGTAATGTTTAAATATAAACAGAACTCACAAAAGTAAGAGGAAACTTGTATTGTCACCCTTCTCAAAAGAATTGTACATTAAATCTGCAAAAGCAAAACAAACAAAAATAACAAAGAAATCCCAACCCCAAATTGAGCCGTTTCATAAGGTAATCTTCTAAAAATAAAACCTAGAAATCTTGCACCAAGTTAAAAGTATAATAAAATCCATAAGTGAAGATTAGCACAAGGCCTTTACCTTAAAATTTCTTGAAAATTTTCAATCAGTTCTACTTCGAATTCTTCAAATCCAGGCACTCTCCCCATTCTTAAATTTTGTCGCTCAGTTTTTTTATCTCTGGAATATCACAATGAAGAAAGATAAAGAAGAAATAGAAAATAAAAGATTAAAAAGAAGGAAGAAATGAGACAGAACACGAGTTCAAAAGGAAGGAGTAGATGGAGGGTCTGTGCGCGAGGAAGGTTGGAATGAGAGAATTAAGGGATGTGGGTGCATAGGTATCGGAGAACTAGGGGTTTGGGAGTTAATATCTTTTTATTTATCAAATCAAACACATAAAAAAACGGAAAAATATGTAAATACCAAACTAAAATTATTAAATTTCATTAAATATATTAGAGGCCCATTGATTTGCCTCTAATATCTGAAATTAATAGCAACAATTTTTATTTCGGCCCTATCACTTTAATTAGAGGCAAATCTATATATCCGCCCCCAATGCAAATTAATAGAGATGAATCCTTATTTTCGCCCCTAAGCTACTGCCTCTAATAATCAATATTCTTGTAATGATGATCGGGCCCGTTCATTGTATTATTGTAGAGTCAGTTACTGTTTTGGTAGAAAATGGGAAAGTTCAGAGATAAAATGATAGTTGAAAATTACATTAAAGTTTATAACCGTTGAATATTTTGTCACGTTACCTAACATAAAAGAAAAAAATTATGTGTAATTTTTGGCGTTTATGATCTCATATTTATATGAATAATACTGACAGTTGGATTGTCGAAAATAATTATACACCAACAATCATATATGGATTTGAATATGTGAAATAAGGCCTGAACTTAAAAGATGGAGCCTCCGTCGGGCAAACTTAAAATATATGCTCAACAAATACCTAAACCCTATACCTTAATTTATGCTCAATAAATGCCCTAATCAATTGCCAAACAAACAATTTGTCATGTAAAATATAGCGTAACGTTATAAAGACGGAGGTCCGTCGCATAAGAGCTTGAATTTTTCATTTTTCATTTAAAAAAAAAAGATAATTAAATATAGTTTGTTACAACAATTGTACATTAATAAACTCTCAGTCATTGTCGATATACTGATTTGCTTCCTTTCTGTCCCTCTCAATGTCGCTTTCACTCCTTGAGTCATCGCTGCTATCTTCTACCAAGGAATTCTATTGATTTGGTGGTGTGCGTCCAAGGTCAATAGATAATGCATCTATTTCAATTTTGGGGGCACCTTCTAGCTCGAATGGTGGTTGAACAATGTGGTTTCTTCGTACTCTAGGAAGGTTTTTGGTGAATGAAGAACCCACATCGTGATCATGGTCATCATTGATATCCTCTTCGTGATCTTAAGCTTACAAGTTCCAAAGGTTTCTATGTAGTAAGCCTTGGACTACTTTCCAACCACCCTTGAGCTTTGGATCATCCAAGTAGAATACTAGTTTTGCCATATTGGCGAGGATATAAGGATCACTTTCAAATCACCAATATTCGTGTTAACAGATAACAAATATATATCTTCAACGACACTATTTGGTTTGTCCAAGTTTGTATCATACCAATGACACTTAAACATCATTTCCTTATGGTTTGTGTATAACAATTGAACCACAGTCAACAGTTTACCCCAAAAAAAAAAAAAACGTTTTTTCATCTTCCCTTGGGACATAAATGCCACTGTTTTGAGTGCATAATTTATCATCTTGTGCAACTGTCAAAAATTTAACTTCACTGACATGACATCCAGAGTACGTTTCAGCTCTAACAAGACAAGCGAGCTAGAACAATTCTTCGCCAAACATAGGTGACTTAGCTGCTTTTAATTGTCTCATCTAGTAAAGTGCAAGAACAATTTAATACATAATTTAATCTACAAGATGAACAATTTTAGTTTTAAGTAAAATGAAAACACTTATGTTCTTCAAACCAATTAGGAAATAATTGCCTATGCATTTCAACCCAACTTGATGGATAACGAGTCTTCATAATTACTTCATGTTGTTCAATGAATGGCTCGACTTCATTGTAGCTGTTTAATATGAACCAGTGAGCCACCTCTAAGTCAGATTTAGTAAAAGGCTCAGACGAAGGCCCTCCGCCAAATAGGCGTTCAAGTTGTGCAAACACATTTAACTTTTCCACCCGCCCACGCCCACCAAAATTGCGCAGTTGATTGTTATACGAAGTTTCAACATTTTGTAGGTACCTCGAACAAAATGTTACTGATTCTTGTACAATTACTACCTTCGCAATGGATCCTTCTAGTTGTGCCATGTTGCGGACGAACCGTTTGTAACCGCGAAGGAGCCTAAAATATAAAAAAATGTGTGAAAAAATTCATTTTGAAGCACTTCATAATTAATATTAATAAATTAAGATGATTTTCAAGCTTACCTCTCAAATGATTACATCCAACGAGGGTGCACCGGGCCAGTAAGCTTTGCCTCATTTGGCAAATGTATCATTACGTGAACCATACTCATGAAAATGTTAATGGATACATTTGCTTTATCCGACCATAGGATGTGCACAATATCTTCGTCCATCTTAGCTACGGTGGACTTGCGTGGCATTTAACAATATAGTTGCAGGAAGAATTGACACAAATGTGTTAGCGTCTCAACAACCTTGTTGTCCAAGTAAGGCCAAATACCAATCGGGAGTAGCCGTTGGAGCAAGAGATGACAATCATGACTTTTCAGACCCGACATTGTCCCAATGTCCATTTTCCCATGTCTTGCTATATTGCTTGCATACCTGTCTGGGAATTTCACACAATTCTACCAGTTTAAGAAATTCTTCTTACTAGTCGACTTGAAAGTTAAATTGATGTTCTTTTTCTTGTATTTACCATTTTCCAATGTAGGCCACATGCCTTATCCTCATTTCTTGCATTCCAATACAAGTCTTCATTGTTTCCTTCGATTTTCCCTCGATAGGTAGACTTGTACACAACACATTGTCACATACATTACATGCATGGGATCCTCAATGTGTCTCAATTTTGACCAATATTCTAAGTCAAAGAAAATACTCTTTTTGGTCTAATTAAGTTGTTCCACCAGTCTCGAACCTTCATCAAATTAGAGCATATTCAACTTGGCCAATATTTCATCTCGAGTAATTCTCATGGTCGAGTTCGATACTCTGTTATCCTATCAAAAGATGCAGGCTTCTCAGGCCACTCATGATTCCAGGGAAGCCACCTACGGTGACCCAAGTTGCATACCCTTCCAGCGTGCCAAAATGGCGATATGTACTCACTGCATGTTGGCCATGCCACATACCCTTTAATACTCCAGCCTGACAACATACCATAAGCAGGGAAATCATTAATTGTCCACATTACTGCAACTCTCAAAGTGAACATTTCCCTCGTCGACATATCATACGTTCGTACACCATTTGTCCATAATTTTGAGCTCATTTGGATGTGCTTTTAAAAAGACTGAAAGCGCTTTTATATAAAGTGTTTTTCAATTCCAAAAGCACTTTAAGTGCTTTCTACAAAAAGCACCAGTTATGTGCTTCTTCCAGGAAGCAATTTAAGTGCTTTTCCAAGATTTACTAACATTTTTACTAAGGACTGTTTCCAAAAATATTTTCATCAAAAGCGCTTTTAGTAATTTTAAAAGCACATCCAAATGGGCTTTTTATCAACGGCTGCAAATTTACATCAATGGAGTCGCCTGATGATTTTAGCCCTGGTATTAAAAGAATCATAATACTAAATTTTTTCTTCATGCACCCCAAAGATTGCAAATTGTAAGGAATAATGACCACCGGCCAACTACTGTACTCAGTGGAAAAATTTCCACGCGGATTGAAATCGTCAAAAGCAAGTCCTAGTCATCAACCTATACCTCCTTATGCCACATCATATCACGTGCAATATAGTTCGACATGTACAATCTCTGTAATCTTGGTGTGAGGGGAAAATAATGGAACACCTTATTCGAAATCTTGTTAGTTCAATATTGAGGCTCATTGCACTTGGGACATTTTCTAACTTCTCAAACTGACAGTAGAACAATATACAATTGTTCTTGCATGCATGTGCCTTGTCATATCCTAAACTGAGATCTTTCAAGATCTCTTTCAACCCAGAATGGTTTGAAGGAAATGCATTTGGTTTCGGAAGCAAACGTTTGCGAATACCCATCATCATATCGAAGTTTGGATTGGTCATATTACATTGTACTTTCATGTGCATCAATTCTACAACAATTGTGAGGACGGAATAATCTTTACAACAAGGGTACAATTCTCGCTCAGCTTCCTTCAACAATTTATCATACTTATTGGGGTCAATGAACACCTCATCTTCTATGTTCAATGCAGCATTTGGAAAAACATCATTCAAAATGTCCATCACTTGGTCCTCATCAACACGACCAAATGTAAAAGGTTCGTGCGAAACTATCCCACTGCCGGAGGACGCTGACATTGTAATGGACGATTCCCCATGATGAGTCGACTGTAGTAACTATGTACCATCTCATTTGAATACATGTGATATTGAGCTTCATCCGCTATCATCCACACACAATTATTACATTTCATGCATGGACATCGACTACGATTCTGAGCACTAACATGATTCCTTGCAAATTTAATAAAATTGTCGATCCCATCCATATATTGGACAGAACTTCAAGTGCTCGTCTCTTAAGTACATATTCCCCTGTTTTTTGCACATCATAATTTATGCTTTTGTTGACGACCACATAATCTTACATGATGGATACATCCATCAGTTAAACTATATTTACACGACGAACAGATATCCGCCCATAAACCCTCATTAATTGTCCACCAAATTTTTCCTTTGCTGACAAATGTTTTCCCGGTGGAAATATTTTTACCCTATGACATTGTTCCGTCTCGAAAGATTTTCCAGTAAACCTAAAATGTTGACTTTACTAACTCTACGTACCTGTGAATTCGTTGAGTGAGAAGAATTTAACCGACGAAATTCGTCCGTTCCTTAAATTTTGTAGAGCAAGCCATAATTTCTGGTAATGACTGCTCATGAAAGCTCGTATGAATTTTTATAAATCTTAAAACCGTGCAACTTGTTAAAAAAACACCACGTAATTCTTTAAGCAAATGGCGCTTAAACAACCTTAGGATATTTAATGTAATTGCTGATCATTTAAATCATAGGTCATTTGGGCCTTAAAGGCTTAACCCCTAGCTGCTAGCTAGAGAGAAAAATGAAAAAAAAAAAAAAAAAAAAAAAAAAAACTCATCCGCTAACCCTAATCATTGGCTTTGGGGTCGGTAGCAATTTCTCTTGGTGTTGTTCTTTTGGTTTGTGCACATGCCAAAAGCCCATGAGAAGGAAGCTCAGTATTTGTAAGGAGTGATTCATAGCAGTGCTTCTTTG